TGGTCAGTCGGTAGCCAAGCGGTTCGGCGTGGGTGCTTTGTTCACTCACTCGAATTGACTGCCGTGTTGGTCGGTGGTTCAAGCCCTAGTCTGAACGATCGATCTTCACTTGCTACCGTCCAACCCGTGTTAGGAATCACACGTTAAAAGGTAAGACCTCGTTAGTGCTTAGCTCGCACAAGTTTCTCAACTTCTGAGAGTTGTCGTTCGTATGGGGGCGACAGCTGATTAACGGAAAAACAGATTTTAAACATATTTCCTGATATGGCCCGATTTATATTGGATCTTCCGACAGGGACTTCAAATCTTTGACAATTCATAACGGCCATCTTATGATATCACTAAATTGTAAATTTTTGCATAATTATTGTAAAAGATAGAAAACACATAAAGAAAACTCAAAGCTCTATTGGATAATTCATAAATTTGAAACTTATCTTGATATCGAAATGAATTAAAAAAGAATGTTTAAGAAATGAACATGCTGGTTTTGAGTGTCATCCAAAAGTTGTATTTCACTACAGGGTGTTTCAAAACTAGCTGATAGAAAAAAAAATTATTTTCCCTCGTATAATATGTATAATTCGGGTCTGATTGCAAATCTATCTGATATAAATCAATCCGACACAAATTTCCTACCATTTATTGAAAAAAATATCGATATTGTTATCAATTTCAAGGTGTCTGTTTTTTATGTATCTGAGTGCAGTGGAAAGTCTAACATATTCTCACCTCTGTTCTTACGCTCAATCTGTCTAAAGTACACATAGCATTTCTCGGCTTCTTGTAAGGAATTTTGGTTTTGAAGGTGGTGTTGAAAAGTTTTGCTTCCATTTTTTCTAACTCGCTATCAGAACTATTTTCGAACAATCCAGCAGGCAAGTTATTTGAGTCCAACAATACATTCATGGTTCAGCCTCGCACCACTTATGAGACCCGTGGCGAGTTGAAAGAGTGTTGCCTGGTATTGGGTGCTGGTTTTAACAAACTACCTCATTTTCAACTATTTTTTAGCCTTACATGATCATCAATAAGATCATCAATGGAGTTATCGAAAGCTGGACGATGTTCTCGAGTAGCAAATCGCCGGTCTTCTCATCGACATTCTCAAGTCAGTTTTTGACCGCATCAGCAATACATCCGTTAGAAATAAAAAAGGCAATTTATGGAGCTGGTGACAAACAGGGTACGCAGCGGAAAATGAAAAATGTTGTACTGAATTATGCGATACATTATTTATTTGGTAACTGCTTGAAGACGAGCAGTAAACAAATCTAAAGAAATGAACTTTAAATGCATAGCCCACTGATTAATAAGATTTGTTCACTGCCTGTCTTCAAGCATAGTCCACTAACTAATAAGAAAAGTTTAAACGATGAAAATTAAAAATTTCAGGTGCTTTTCGAATATTTTTCATGCCTGAAAACTTAGTACCCCAAGATGCCTCGGAAAAAAATGAGCAATTCAAGGAATTTATCAGGCGTGAAGTGAAGAGAAAAGAATTGTTCTTGAAATGGCAAACCGATTGGAATACACAAAACGCATCTCTAATAAGGTTACGGGAAAACCAACAAAAAGAAATAATGAATAAAGAAGAGGAAGAGCGCAAAGCTAAAGAAGCAGCTGAACTGGAAGAAAAGAGTGATGAAAAAGCCGTTAAAAAAGGTCCACAACCTGGTGAGATATTTCTCTTCTGAACAAATTTTTGGAATACCAATGAACTACTCCTTCTATGGAACTGAATATGTGAAACATGTTTCTCCTAGTAAGCTCTTATAGTCCGCTAGTTTGACCAACATACTTTCTATCACAATCCTCTTTTCTCGTAGCTTATTTCGCAATTCCCAGATTTTTCTTTTTCTGTCATCTCGTCTACTGAATTACACAGTACTATGATGTAAATTATTCCCCGAGAAAAAGTAACGTCGGCCACCACTGGTCTTAGTCGATCAACTGTGACTAGGCCAAATCGCGCTCAACTCTACTTGTGCTTCTCAATCTTTATAAGTGTCGCGTTGCTTTTAGAATATTCCTACCGGTTCCAGAAAATTTCCATCGAGTTATATAAGCACTACCAAGAGGCAGAGGATGCTAGTCCAGTAGAAAGTGTGGTACACTCCATATGTAGGATACCCAAGTCTTTTCTTGATAACTTGCATACAAATTCATGATAGTTGAATGCATTTTTCGACTACATCACCATATTTGCCATTATTTTCGTTCAGATTTTTGTTCTGGTGGGTTTTCTTCATGATATGCATGTCATGTCGAATTGAATGTGTCGAAATTTTTGAGTAACTTTATGTTATAGGCAAATACGTTGAATGGGTGAAAGAGCAAAGGCAGATAGAAGAGGAGGCCAGAATAAAAAGTACAATAATTAGTAAAAAACAGTTAGATACCAAAGAGTTGGAAAAAAGAAGGAAACCTCTACAAAAGCTTGATGAAGAGAACGAAAGGAAAAAGAGAAAACAGAAACAGAGGTAACGATATTGAATTCGGGTACGATCAAGTAAAAATTCAATACGTTTCAGATTGAAGGAAGGTGAATCGATTTTCCAAGATACTGTAGCTTCTTTGTTTCCGGATGTGGTGAAAGAGAAACCGGCCCCACCTCCTGATCCCTATGCGGGGGGTGAGTCGCACAAAGAATTGGAGAAATGTTATTATGAATATATTGAATTATCACAACTCGCAGAAGAATTCATCGACGACAATCCTTACCATTACGACTTCGACTGGAAACAGGTTCTCATCAGTAAGTATCTAGATACTGAAACCTGAAATTCTCAATTTCTCAGAAAGTAAGTTCAACAAATTACGAGACATTACAAGATGTTCGAATTAAAATAGATAGGAAAAGGTAACAATAGCGAGTAACTCTCAAAATGAAGGTCCAAATATCAATAAAGGAATTGAATATCTAGCTATTTCTAGTTTACAATATTCACATGGAAATAGGCCTNATTAACATTCTTGTCTCTTGGGATTAATAAAGATTATTGTTATTATTATATATGAACATTCGACATACGTAACAGAAATGTTTTATCTAGTGAGGCTCACACCGAACATTTTTTTTTTCGGAATTGTATCCTGTTCAGTTTTTGAAAACATGTTGCAGATATACTCCATTGATTACCCAATTTCACAATTCCTACACTCATAATTTTCAGGTCAATGGGGCGATAGATCTTTATACCGACGACTATTCTGCCCTAATTACTAACGATACGAAGTTTTCGAAAATATCTTCAGATGAAGAAGTCCAAGAATATATGTCCTTCATGGACGTGAACCTGTGCAAAGGTAAAATGATTGCCGATGCAGTCTGGCACCCAATGTGGACAGGAATCATCGCCATAGCCTACGCCAATGCTGCTCCAAATGTTTATCAATCTGGACCAAAAATGGAGGATAACGTAAGATATTTTCAATTTTATCAGTTCACTTCAAACATCCAATTTGGTACTAATCTAAATGCAATTCCAAATTATCGACTTTCTTTTCAAACAGGTTCTGAAAGCAGTTCATGGACTGAACCCGGTTCTTATCTGGAGCTGTTTAGATGGACTGCGGCCTAAATTGATTCTAGAAACTCCAAGAGAGGTTCACAAACTATCTTTTTGTAAGTTTGACGAAAATATCCTCATTGGCGGTTGCAGTAATGGACAAATCGTAAGTTTATAGTGTTTTGTTGAACTCTAGTGTACTGATTGGCTACGAGATATTTCGGGATTAGAGAACAAAAACAAATATTAATCCCCAAAAATCACTTTATTGTTTTTCAAAATATGCCCCATGAAGATCTATACACTTTTGTAGCACAGCACAGTTTGTTTTTTACGTGCGGGAATAAAAAGAAGTCATTCGGTTCCAAATCAGGACTATACGGCGGATGACTTATCAAATCAATGTTTTGGGTGCTCAAAAATGCAGTTGTTTGAGCCGATGTGTGAGAGCTCGCATTGTCGTGATGAAGAGTAATCCGTCTTCGGCGGTTGGTTGTCCTGATTTCTTGGAGACAACTGGCAAACAAATGGTTGTGTACCACTCAGAATTGACTGTTCTGCGTTGTTCTAGTGGTACGGTTGCGACATGTCCAGTTTTTCCGAAAAAGCAGGCGACCATTTGCTTGAAAGTGCTTTGTGCATGAACAACTGTTGTAGGATTTGGCTCATCTTGAAACATCCTATAGTCGACTGCTGTTGACTTTCGGGCTCATACGCGTAAATCCACGATTTATCACCTGTCACGATGTGATAGACGTGTTTCGAAGCACGGCGATCGTATTTTTTGAGCATTTCCTTCGACCAACCGACACGATCCTTTTTTTGAGCGATTGACAAATTGTGTGGGATCCAACGCGAACAAATTTTTTTGACAGTCAAATGTTTATGCAGTATTGAATGTATACTGGTCCCACTAATGCCTAAGGTTGTCTCAATCTCACCATAAGTAACATGATGATCTTGCAATATCAGTTCGCGCAAAGCATCAATGGTTTTTGAAAAAACAACTGATTTTGGACGAACTTCATGAAATTTGTCTTGGAGTGAACTATGACCACGATTGAAATCACCATACCATCGATAAACACTGGTCCTCGATGGAGCTTCATCGCCAAAAATTTAATTAAGTTCATCCATGCACTGTTGCTGAGTTAATCCACGTCGAGAGTTGTAAAATATAATCGCACGAAAATGTTCACGATTTGATTCCAGTTTCGGGCCAAAATGAATATTTTAAGTTACTGTAAACAACACAAATAGCGCGCGCGTCTGTCAAAACGTTCTGAGTACGTATAAGCTCAAAAATGTCCAACTTTACGATAGAGCTGTCAGTTGCCAGATTGCAACACTGAAGTCTATCCAAATCCAAGATAGAGTAAAACAAAACCAAACCGAAGCGTGATGTTCACGTGATCGCCCAGTGTCAGATGGAAAGGGCAGCGTTCATTGGTGAATTCGCCTTCTTGGTACGAGTTCGGTACCAGCACAGGGTTGTAATCAGCCGTTTGCGTGTTTGTGTGGCGTGCGTTATAGTATATTGTTTAAAATTGTTTTCCAAGATGTCCAGTACAGACACTGCTGATGACACTGTGAGCTATCCTCT